GAAGTATACTAATATATACCCGGAAGTATACTCGGGAATTGTATATATATATTATGTGTGATGTAGCTTATGAGTTATACTCCGGGGTTCTATATATACTATGTTGTGTGATAGACCCAGAGTTATACTCGGAAGTTATATATATCATTTGTTAATTATGTTATATGTTATTATTGATGGTTTTATGTCAAGATAAAACCTGGTTTTACTTCAAGTTATAGCTGTTATACTTCCTAAATGTTATGAAATTAGGAGTAATGTTTAAAAGCATAGTCTAGTAACTTAGGGTTTTAGACACTAAAATGCTTTTGTTGTTTGAACTATAGAAAGTCGTCAAAGTTTACATGAAGTATTGTATTCATCATCTAATATTGGGGATCTTAGTGGAACTCCTCTGACCTGTAACCGTTAATCCCGTGTGAGCGAGGAAGTTGTGTATGGATCTATGTGGATTAACGCCCCATTCATGGTTGTTGGGTACAAACCAAAAGCTTTTACGGTGGACTATAGACCTATACGGGTTGACAACCACACCCATGGTTGCTAGCTTCAACCCAACGGTATTCGGGTGACGAACTTGCCTAATTTACTACCTTCCGACGTCAATGAAGCGTGCGGAAACTACCGCAAGGTGTGATCCTTGTAATAATAATAAGAGGTATAAAACTAAGTCATACAGTCGCACCTACAGACTCATGGTAGCACAACTTTAGAAGCATTATAATTTGTCGATATACAAGTATAAGTTTCTCAAAGATTTATACTCTAAGTATAAGAATCTAGTAGGTGTATTACTTGTATATTAAGTAGACCACTGTACCTATCCTACTTACTCGTATAGAATTGAAATAGATTTATACGTGGCAGTTTTACTCGTATAGAATTGAAATAGATTTATACATAGCGGTTTTACTCATACAGAATTGAAATAAGATTTATGTGTAGCAACTTAGTTTGTATGGAATTACAAACATTTATATTTATAATATACGATACTTATAGGTATATACTTATTTGGTAAGTAAACCATTATACCTAGGATATATATACTAAACGTTGGAGAGTCAAAATGATACTTTCAAAACTATACTTTTGAATTTGGAAAATGTATTATTTTTATATGGAGTCAAAACCTGTGGACTCACCAACTTTATGTTGACGTATTTTAAAATGCATGTGTTTTCAGGAAGTTGATAACTATGATACGAGAAATGACGTTACACCGCCCGGTGTTTCCGCCGACGGCCGGGGTGTGACAACTTCAAGCAAGACTTCCCTAGGAAAGAAGAATCCGCAAAGCCAAATGTATGACCAAAAACGAAGGCAAAAGCATTCCATATGATCCTTGACGAAGCAGATGATAATGCAAGGAATCAGGAATGAGGATTGATACCCGAAGATCAAGTTGTGAAGTAGCCATGCAGATAGTATCAGGAGGTGTAGCCTATTAGAGGCATATTATAGGTTGAACTCGAACATCTGTGTAATCGTTTCAAGAAGTAATATAAACCTTGGCTTTGTTATCTGGTGTGTTATGTGATTTTCTTGTATGGTGAATTGGAAAACTGCGAGACAATACTTGGGACGAGTATGAGTAGGTGTGAATGGTAGTAGAGGCCTATACTATTGGAAGCACATGACTCGTATTTGGATCAGGGAAAGTCACAAGGTTACCAAAGAGGTAGTAATTGATTCCATTTTGTTCAAGTATGTCGTTACCATCGTTTCGGTAATGACTAAGAAGAAGATTGTAATTCCGACCCAAGTGGGCATACCAAATCAAGTCCGAGTAAGATGAGTATATCAAATGGTTCAGAGAACCAAGTTCGATTTCGTATCTGACTTAAGATAAAAGATTGAAATAAAGGATAAACGAAGCGATCAGTAGCAGTAGCGCGATTGTAGTTAAAGTAAGAAGATTGTAGCTAGAAGTGATATATACTAGAATGTGATTATATCGCATTAGAACATGAAGGAAGGTATAGTCTGTTCTGGAATTTGACTCTAAAAGACCTGAGTCTAAGCGTCGCATCATACGATGAGAGGTCATTAGAACATGACCCGTTGGTCCATGGTGGTAATCAAAGAACATATCCTAAGTTTGTGAGAAGAAGGAGTCTCCAATAAGGATCGAGATTATGACTTAAAGGTCATGATTGAAAGTCTATTATGAGACAGAGAACGGGAGTGAGATTGAGCACCGCCTGCGGTCAAGAAGTCTAAGAGTTAGATACTCATTCGAAGGAACATAGGAGTTACGATTATTACCTAGGATGAAGAGATAACATATGGAGTCATTATACAGCCCTGTTTCATTGATGATTCCGGGACGTAATCATCCTAAGGGGGAGATAATTGTAACGCCCGCAGATTCGAGCTAGTTAATTTAGAGACAATGAGAATCAAAAATGAGTTTTTGATGGAAGGTTATTTAGAAGGATTAATCTTAACCAAGTTGTAGAATATGTCACAAGGGTTCCGTACATATAAAAACCGCCGAAATCCGAGCAATAATGAAGAAGTTATGACCTGTCGAAGTTTTAAGGCAAAACCGACACGACACTGCGTGACATAAATAGTGAATTTATGATAGAACAATTTTTAGCCTTAGCATTCTAAACGAAAGTCGTAATGTTCATTAAACCGAGAGCGTACATAAAACGAACGCGCAAATCTGACTTCGTATGAGGAAGTTATGATTTTTTCTAAGTTTCGGGTCAGCAGTACACAACCCGAAGTCCGAATATTATATCGAGCGACTTTTGGCGGACACAACCTAAACGAGAATCGAAGATCTCATTAATAGTAGCACAACGACAAAAAGACAGACGAAAACGGAAGTCGGATGAAGAAGTTATGAATTTTTAACAGACTATTCCTGTCCCAGCCTATTAAAAATATAACTTTAAAAATAAAGTCAAAATCAGCCGACGGAGTCTAAACGAAAGTTTTAGATTACGGTCCCGCCTACACGTGGATATAAAGAACGTAAAAAACGGAGCTCGTATGCGAAAGTTACAAAATTTAGAAGATAATTTGTTTTTGGGGTAATCTGTGAGTGACACGTGGCGCAATCTGGGCCACACCTTCTTCCCCACGGCTTGGAACAAGATGGCGACACGTGGCAACGAACGCGCTGCGTTCGTTTTCGGAACGCGCTGCATTCGCACCGAACTCAGCCTATAAATAGAGGCGCAAATCTCCCATTTTCTTCACAACTCTCCATTTCTTTTCTCCCAAATACCCCCAAACCTTCAAGGTTTTTCCCTAGCACCTCCAAGGTGTTAGAAGCATGTCCCGGAGCCCCGGAAAGATCCGAGAAGAAGAGCTTTTGGCTCAGAAGCTCTGCCCACGTGAAGCCCGGTTTTTAGCAAAACACGCTGTAAGTGAGATATGCCTACCCTACTTTAAATATAACTTATATATAAATATAGTATTGTTATTATGAACCTATAAATAACACTTATCAGTGATTCAAAGTCATTATACTGATTGATCTACTTACGGGAATGATGTCTAGGCTATGATTTAGTGAGGTGTTTAAAGTGGGATCTCCAAACAGTATACTTCATATACCAAACGGACCCTACCTCCGATATGATCCTACCTGGTTGTTCCTTACTTGATAGATCATGAAGTAGACTCTGAGTTAATGACGAATCTAGACTAATAATTAGTCACAATGAATATTAGACTAAAATCTAGTGGTAATGATACTAGGTTTCGTCGAAGGAAAGTAGAAGCGTTAGAAGCGAAGCGCTGCCCGAGTTTGGAATCACCACTTTAACAAGTTAGTGCATAGTCCCTTTCATGAACATAATTTTAATACAAGTATTGATTGAAGTATTAAGTATATGTTTATGTGCGAGTTATTTGATGTTGCCTGAAATACGTGTTAAAAAACATACCTGATTATATATGATGATTTTGGATAAAGAGTAAACCTAAAATTAATTATGAGGAATATTGGGTAGTATCTTCTTACGAGTGCGAGTGAGTTATACTCAGAGAATAGAACTTTAATATATGTCCTTGATCTGGGAGCATGGATTAGACATAGTCATTGTCCTTAGTCCGAGAGTATAGATTGAACATATTCAAATGCCATTAATCCGAGAGTATGGATTAAGATATAGTCAGTTGTCCTTAGTCCGGGAGTATGGACAAGACATAGTTATCCATAATTAATCCGGGAGTATGGGTTTAGACATAGACACTTGTCCCTAATTTGAGAGTATGGAATGGGCACAATTATTGATATGAGAACATGGATTAGATCTGGGAGTAAGAGGTAAAATTTATGGTTCGAGAGTATAGATAGTCTCGTTGTGAGGATTGACGGGGTGGGGTAAGAGTTGATTATAAATATGGGGAAATTGTGTATTTTGTGAGTTCTAAATTATATATATGATATAACATTGTGGGATTGAAATCCCTATGTACTCACCAGGTTTCCCAACCTGAGCCACTCAAGTTTATTTGTATCACAGGTGCCGATATGAAGTTACATTACACTGAGAGACTAAGGAGATATAAATCATTAGTGATAATGAATGTAAGTTCTGTTTATGCTTATGTTTCTGTATTGACGATGACATCCCAATGTTTTAAAATGAATAAAATACATTTCTTCGGAAATGATTTGATAACGTATTTATCATGTTTTTCTGGGAACAAATTCCGCAACATTTTTATTAAAAAGGGTACTCTGATTTTTATAAAGCATAAACAAAATCGGTCTTTTCTGGCCGTGAAAATGGGGATGTCACTGCCATGGTGTGGGAAGGCAAGATTTTCTAATTCTTGAAAGGCATGGTTCAGATTTTTCTTCAAATTTGTACCCCATTTCCTTGAATATTGTCAACAATTGAGCAGAAGACGGTGTGACAAATGTCTTAGGTTGACGACAATCATCGCTTAGACCTAAACTGATTGCAAACTCTTCTTTATTTAGAACCAATTTAGCTCGAAAAAGATCAAATTCAACATGAACCTTTTTTTTACTTTGCCCTTGGGGAGATGGCTGCAGATTGAAAGACTTCTGAAACAAGAGATTGTCGAGGGGGAGAAGTAGAAAGGAGTGCATATGCCAATGGACACTTTTTCAAATATTCAACTATAACACCAACTTCTGTAGGTTGTTCTTGAGTTTTAAGAAGTGCAATATAGTTGGATGCAGCCATTGCAATTTTAGGTGATGATGAGTTTGGCACAATGGAAGGTCCAGTTGCATGAGATTTGGATACCTTATGACAAGCCTTTACTCTTGAAGTCTGTCCATCTTCTTTGGAAGCCATGTCTTGAGAGAAAAAGAGAAGAACAAAAATTGGAATGAATTGTTAGTTAAAGAGATATAGCTAGAGAGTAATAGCCTATAATCTTAACTAAATTCCAAAAAAAGGAGGGGAGGAGAAAAAAATGTGTGAATTTGCATTAACTAAACAAGTTGTGACTTAAGTAGTATTGTTGATTGTACTATAGACAATAGAAATCTACAAATTCATTTTCACTAGGTATAGGCCAGAAAGTAGATGGCATGATAAGTAGAAATAGAAAAGAAAGGACTTCATGTCATATAAAACAACAAAAAAAATTGATGTTACTAAATCATAGCAAAAGTGAAAAGATCAAGTAAAACTGCTAAGTCATGGCCTATGATGACTATGACATATCAAATAAAGATGTCTTTAGAAACTAACTGAAAATTAGGTATCATAGAGACAGTAAGTGACAAGTATTTATGTAAATCCAAGCACACATAGAACAATGCATGGATTTAGATAGAGTTGAAAAAGGAGAGAGAAAAAAATATGTTGATCTTAGAAGAACATAAAAAAGACATGAAATAGAAGATCACAAAAGATTAAGAAAAGATAGATTACCTTAAAGAAGAAGAGTAAAGGTAATAGACTTGTGATGATGAAAACAAAGATATGAACCAATAAGTATAATGCGCATAGGAAACATTTGATCAAAGGATCAACACTAAATAACTTAATCATGGTAAAAGTGAATCAATGATCAATGAAAAACAAAAAAAAATTAAAAAAATTGATGCTCACCCAATATGATTGCAATAAGAAGAGGTGTTCACTAAGAAAAAGTGATAGTCCAATACTAAGGGAACCTGACCATATTAACATATGTTTAGACATGAATCATCAACTAAGGAGGGATAACCTTATCACATAAGGGTATGTGAACAAGCAAGAGAGATGTTTCTTACCAGTTGATGTCTTATTGAATCAATGACCAATAGAGAGATAAAGCAACACTTTTGACAATGACACTAGAGATATTCAAATATATTTTATGTCAAGAAAGGAAACAAAACTTTAGAAAGTGTACACCATGATCATCATAGAGTGTAAAGAAGGAGAATGAACACTTTCGTAGAGTGATCAAGGAGGTGATGCTCAACACAAAATGATGATGGACCACATGATGATAATCACTAAACACATGATGATAATCACTAAACACATGATGATTCAATAATCAATGTTAATTTGACTATGATGTACATGCAAAAAAATATACATGCAACATATGATAATTCTCATGAAGCTAACTTGTGACAACTAGGGTTTCATAAAAGAATTGTGATGCTTACCTAGAGTTTGGAGATGATCCACACAAGAAACAAGGTTGTATGATGATGCTCCAAGAAATAGTTGATTATGCTCCAAACAAAAAAAACTAGTGTTTGAACACAAAAAACGATACTAGGCTTAAAAAAAACGTTTATTAGGGTTTTAAAGAAAAAAATGATGATGCTCACCTACGGTTTGTGAATGGCGCAAGAAGTGATGATGAGATCAAGTGATGTTGCTCCAAGGATTTGATGCTCACTAGGGTTTAAAATTTGGGTATGAAGTAGTTAGGCTTTCGAAATTGTGTATGGAGCAAGTAGGGTTTTGAAATTGTGTATGGAGCAAGTAGGGTTTGTGTAGGCTTGGTTCTTGCTTGATGAGTACAATGGAAGGATGATTGTGCAATATGGTGGTCATGATATCACATGTTGATCACGAATGGTTAATAATGGCACAAGAGTGATTAGGGTATGGCGCAAAAGAGATGTTGTCGAATTTAGATCAAGAGGGTGGTGAATGAAGAAGTTGCGCCAAGGGTATGTAGTGCAAGTAGGGTTTTGATAAGGAACAAGAGTAGAAGAAAAGGAGGAGTGGCACAAGTGAGGTTGATCGTGTGAGGTAGTTGTGCCAGGAGAAAGAAAAAAATGAGAATGCCAAGGGATCTTTTGTTTATGGTGCAAGTTGTTTAGGAAAAATAAAGGTGTTTGGATATGATGGTTGTGATCAAGATGGGAGGCTTTTATAAGGTAGGTGTTGGTTAGGGTTGAATGATGCACAAGAGAAAATGGCGCAAGAAGGGTTGTTTCGAGACTAGGTTGTTGAGCCAAAAAAAATTAGGTTTCGGTTTACAAAAGATATGACACTAGTAGGATAAAGATGAATTGAAGGTTGTTACGCCAAGGGTGACTAGGAATTTGATTTAAGGTTAGCCAAAAAAATATGTGGCGCAAGGAGGTTAGAGTAAAGGGCAAGGAATAATTGGTGTGCAAGATAAGGAAAAGAAGAGGGATGACGCAAGACGGGGCTTGAGGCGCAAGAGAAGGAAAAAAGGGGAATGATGCAAGAGGGGTTTTATGGCGCAAGAGGGAGGATGGTTTGGCACAAGAAGGGTGCGAGGCAAAGGATTTTGTTGCGCCAAGAAGATGTGCAAGGTGTAACATCTGGATTCCCAGGTATCTTATTTTAAGTATTTATCTTGAGTTTTAGGGAGGGACTCGGCGAGTAGGCGCTCAGACTCGCTGAGTAGGATCGCGAATTCTTGTCTGGATTAATGATCGGACTCGACGAGTCGATGCGTGGACTCGGCGAGTCCGCGCTGTAAAGTGAAACCCTAAATCTCAGGGCCTGAGCCCTATTTAAAGGCCCTTATGGTCGTTATTTGCGGCCACTACTCCCCTGTGAAAACCCTAGAGAGAAAAGAGAGTTTAGAGAGCATTTTGGAGGCTAATTCTTCATCCTTTGGTGTGACCTTGCAAGAAGGAGTGAGAAAATCCAAGCTAGATCGGTTGTGGAGCTTGGATCTGTGTTGTTCACACTGAGATTCACGTTTTAAGGTACAAGTTCCTTCCGATTTCGTGTATTTGATAGATTCCTTGAATCTAGGGTTTCCCTTGACAAATTTTAAGTTAGATTGTGAAGCATATGAGGTCCCTTTGGGTATAGATGATAGATCTGGACCTTGAGAGGTCCAAAAGGTCCCAAGCTTCCAGCTTTATGAGGTTTCATGTGAGCCTTGAGAGTAAAACCCCATTTTAAAGGTTCTTTCTCCATTTTTGGTCTTATAAGCATTGCATGAACGTAAAGTTTGAACCTTTACGTGACTTTCAAGTGTTAGGAGGTTGGATCTACTGGTTGGTGAAGCAGATCTGACCTCAAAAGATCGTTTGAGTGTTTTCATGGGAGGAACTCGTCGAGCCCATAAGGGACTCGACTAGTCGAGTCGGGTTACCCCGCGATTCGTGACATGTGATAACCCGTTGAGTGTAGGGTTGACTCAGCGAGTCGAATGAGGACCAGGGGTGAAGAGGACATGCATGTACTCGCCGAGTCACACAAGTGCACTCGACGAGTCTGGTCAAAGTTTGACCGTTGACTTTTGTTGACTTTTAGGGACTGGTCAATGTTAGGGTCTTTGAGTCATGAGAGGGGTAAAATGGTCTTTTACCCTTCTGAGAGTATTAAGAGAGGGATTAGTCTAGCCTTGAGGGTTGTATTGTTTAGAGTGCTTATTCCATGTGATTAGGCGGGGGCTAGACCAGATTTTTCCTAGCTCGAGATTTACCGAGTTACCCAAGGTGAGTCTTCTCACTATACTGTACCTGGAGGGGTACCTATGTGTGACCAGAAGGTCTTGTATGATATGAGGTGTATATACTGTATGCTGTTATGTGATATGTACGTGTTATGTATGTCATGATGTGGACCGGAAGGTCAGGATGATATGGACCGGAAGGTCAGGGTGATATGGTCCGGAAGGTCATTACGGGTAGGGCCGGAAGGTCTACCAGAGTTATGGGACAGAAGTCCCCTGAGACACAGAGACCGGAAGGTCTTATGGCCTTGAGTGGCGTATGTGCGTATGTGGTATTTTGGGGAACTCACTAAGCATTTATGCTTACAGTGTTGTGTTATGTGTTTCAGGTACCAGTCAGGATCGCGGGAAGGCGCCGTCATGATCAGTACACACATGAGGAGTTTTATACATTATGACCTTGGGGTTGTGTTTCTATGGATTGATATGTGATACAATGACATTTTTATAATATTTATGAATGAAAGTATGTTTTTGAAAATGTGAAAAATTGTTTTGAAAATTTACGTTGTTACAAGTTGGTATCAGAGCCTTGGTTTGAGGGATTCGGATGCACCTTCGGGCGTATCTGAACACAAACTGAGGGTTTGAGGAAGTTTTCCACAAAATAAATAATTTTTCTATGAAAGTAAAAGAATTTGAGAAAAGCAAAAGGAAGCAGTGTGTACGATCAGCCAGCGCCCGAACGATGATTTCCCAAAATACTCTTACATTATGTGCTGTGAGATATGTTATGATATGTTATGCATGCTAAAGTAGGCTAGGTACTCATATTAGGACTAAAGTGGCCTGATTTGTGATGCCTTAGCCTAGGAAGGTTTCTGCTGCCATGAGATGCTTGAGAGTGAGTAGGTAGCGATGAGGAGATTATGAAAGGTCTACCGAAGGGTAGCCTATGCTAGCGAGATGTAGAGTACTTGTGATATGGGATCCAAGGAGGAGGACTTGGGGTGAATGCTGATGCGGTGTGGACGGTAGTATAGGGCTCGTGCTACTGTAGACACCGGATCGGTGCGCAGCCCAAGTAAGAATCCTTAGGGTACTAAAGAACAAGTAGGGTTGAGTACCGAGTGCGAGTATACTCGAGCGAATCTCTGATTTTTTTTTATGTTATATTTCAGAGACATCATGGTTGGGACACGCCACAGACCTAAGACGAGCGGCGTGAGTGACGAGGAGCTTCGTCAGATGATCCACGACGAGGTGGCTGCGACGATCCGGGCCGAGATTCCGGAGATGTTTGGGTCTATCAAGACCACATTGATTGAGACCTTTGATGAGCGGTACGCAGCAGTTACTGAGGCTGCGGCTGTTGCAGCTACTGCAGCCGTTGCTGCTGCTAGACCTCAGGGAGGTGACTCGTTGCTGTACTGAGAGTTCAGCAACACGAAGC